TAACGGCTTCGATTTGTTGTTGTTGTTATTATTATTACTATTATTATTATCACTATTATTACTACTGCTAATGGCTTCGATTCATTGTTGTTGTTGTTATTATTATTACTATTATTATTATCACTATTACTACTACTACAAACGGCTTCAATCCCCCCCCCCAGTTTGAGTACCTGGGCGGGGAGCATCAGTTTGAGCAGCTGGAGCTGGAGGCGGCCAAGTCGAGTCTGGTGTTTGAGCTGGTGGAGGAGCAGAAGACGGTGCTCAAGGCCTCGGAGCAGTCGCTGCTGACCTACTTCCAGGCTGTACCCAGCTCTTACAACAAGTGGGTGGTTCATTGTTGGTGGCGGGATGATGACGGGGTTTTTTGTGCCTGGAGTTTAGTTGAGAAAAGGTTTAATTGTTTTTTAGACAGTGGTTGTGGTTTTTTTAGGTAAAGGGAGGGAGGGAGAGAGAGAGTGGGAATGGGTGGTTGGGGGGTGCTCTGGTGTGGTTTGCTCGTTCTTTCCTACCAAACATCTATCGTCGTTATCTCTATTCCTTTTTTTTTGTGTTTGTTACTCTCTTGAAACGCATCTATTCTTTGGCACTTATATGACGGTATTGTGTTGAAAGTTTCGTGAAACTTTTACTAAAGCTGAACTTATCCTCTATTTAGGTAAATTATCTGATGTGCCGCGTAAATTTATGTTTTTGCCGAGTCATATGTTACAGTGTGTGAATGTATGGGCCAAAGGCCCTTAAAATCAATAACATTTTCACCTTGAAATCTGGAAATCTATACTCAAACCCCAACTCCACCTCACCTCCTTCACCCCCCCCCCCCTCCCACCTTGTGACCTTAAAATCTATACTCACACTCAACCCCTACCCACTCCTCTTCCTCCACACTCCACCTCCACCCCAATCTCCACCCCTTACACCCACCCCTATTTTGTGAATTTGACATCTATACTCACCTCCCTCTCCCACCCCATGTGACCACCAGGGAGATGTTGGACCTGGTGTCCCGGGTCACCCTAGAGGACCTGGAGCGTGTCGGCGTCCAGTACGTACAGCCGCTGTTTGACCCCGCCCGGACACGCTGCGCCATCTGTGTCAACCCCACCAAGGTCAAGGCCACACAGGACCAGTTCTTAGAGTGAGTGCCGGCGCTGACACTGTCGTAACATGACAAAACGCCCTTTTTTCGTTTTGGCGCCTAAATTATTTATTTGCTCAATCGAAAGTCTGATCAGTTACCCTACTTGTGTGGAAAAAATCAAATTGAAACTGTGGCTAGTTTTGGAATAAATTGGAATTCAAATTGCGGAATGACTTTACTTTTCAATGGTTGCACTGACAAAAAAAGACTTTTTTCTCGAAACTGCTGTGAAGGAAAAGAAAAGGCGTTTTGTCAGCTTTCGGCAGAGTACCCCTGTGGTTTAGTTAATACCATTGTACTGCATGTTATTCGCGGCTTGCAGTGTAAGCTTACCGGGAAGCCAAGAATTCCCCCCCCCCGGGGCAGTGCCACTGACTGTAGTGTCTTTAGGCCATTCCCAAAGGGGGCACATTTCTCATTCATGCACAGTAGAATTGTAAATGGGCTGATTCATCATGTCACGCTCATAACTGTGCCTGATCTACAACAGGGAACTGCTGCTTTTTCTTTCCTAATCCTTACTACTGTCATTTTCCTCTATTTTTGTATGTTTGTCACACTCTTGTGACCTGCTATTTCCGGGGTGTCTTGATAGTCGAAGCAGACCTTGTGTTGTTGAAGCTAGAGAGGTGAGCAGAGTAAGTCTGATTCCCTGTAAAGACTTCTCTGTTGACACCCACCCCTTGGCGCTCATATGACCTTATGCTGTAACTAAACGAAGCCAAGAATGTTTCTGACTGCTCTAGGGCCTGCTGGGGTAACAATAGTTGTGAAGCATACAGTAGAGCTTGCTGAACAGTGTGGATAAAAATATGTGCTATATAAAAGTGATTATTGTCGTTTTGATTATTATTATTTTTATTATTACTACTATTTTCAGTAGTGTTATTAATACTATCGTTATTAATATTATCATCATTATCATCATCATCGTCGTCATCATTATTGTTCTTGTTAATATTTTTTAAATTATTGTTATTGTTGTTGTTGTTATTGTTGTTAGAATGTATAGTACAACTGTTTTACAACCATTCTCTGAGACAGCTATCGTCTTTATCTCTCCTCCTTTTTAAAAAAATGTTTGTTACTCTCTTGTAACACCTCTAATCTTCGGCACTTCTATGACCTTACTGTGTTGCAAGTGCAGTAAAACGCTTACTAAAATAATTTCTCTATTTCTTTGTTTCCCCTTTGCTCAGGAAGCACGGCATGCATCTGAAGGAGGTCTCTCTCAACGACAAGGCTCTGGCTGCCCTCTGAAGTGTGGAAGTGTGTCCCTCGCTCAAGTCGATGCGCGCCGTCGGTTACTTCGTACATCGTCACTTCACAGGCTGTCCTGGCAGCAGTTGGGGGGGAGAGGGGGGGGGGAAGAGGAGGAAAGAGGAAGAGGGAGCGGTGGGTGGGGAGTACTTTAGGGAAAGCAAAGTTGAAATGGATAGAGGATAGAGGGAGAGAGAGAGAGAGGGGGGCGGGAGAGAGGGGGGCGGGAGAGAGAGAGAGGAGCGGGAGAGAGAGAGAGAGAAAGAGGGGAATACATGCAGAGGGTGAAAGAAATAATAGTTTGAGATGGGAGATAGTGGGAGAAAGAGAGAGAGACAGAGAAAGAGAGAGAGAGAGAAGTACATGGAGAAGGAGAAAGAGTATAGGGTAAGGGATAGAGGTGGCCTATTGTCTTTTTGAGGATGAATTCTGCCAGACCTTCTGCTGATGTGTTGAGTGGTGTGTAGTGAATGGAAGAAGTGCTACCTCATTTTGGAGAGAGAGAAGGAGGGAGGGGGAAAAAAAGAGAGAGAGAAGTACATGTATAGAGAGGGAGACTGCAATTGACTTGAGATGTCGGGTAGAGGGAGAAAGAGAGGGATAAATACATGGAGAGGGAGAAAGGAATTGACTGTGACGGGGATAGAGGGAGAAAAAGAGGGATAAATACTTGGAGAAGGAGAACGTAATGGTCTGAGATGGGGGGACAGAGGGAGAGAGAGAGAGGTAGATAGATAGACAGAGAGAGTTCTATGTAAAACCAAAACAGATTGTCACTGATGTTGTCCAGAACTGCTAGCACTACCACAATGTGTGTTTCTCTCTCTGTGAGTGAGCTGGTCAAGTTTGTCCCCGTCCTCGTCAGTTCTGCTCTCCCGAGGCAGGGCGACATAACTGCACATTTCAGTATTTGGAGAAAAATTAAATGAAATTTGATTGATGATTTGCTCGTCTAAGGTTATGAATGCTTTTTAGAAATAGTTATGGAGATATTATATGTGGCTATGCCATTGACAGTGAGGTTGAGATCCCTTCACTTACATAGTTTTACCACTTTGGAAACTTTTATTTCGGATGAAGGCATTGGTGGTTTCGTGGTTAGACTCTCTGACTTGTAACCGTAAGGTCATGGGTTCGAATTCTTGTCAGGGGCCCGGCGTTGTGTTCTTGGGAAAGACACTTTTACACAAATTTTCCTCACTTCAGCCTCCTCTTGTGCTCCTCTTTAGTCAAACGGACAAAGATAACCTGAACATTAAGATGGGTAATACTTGCTTGTACTGTAGCTTGAAATGATCTTTTTTTTATGCTGAAAAGGCAAATGTTTACTATTTCAAACTATGCCTGTTGTGACAAAGCTGGGAATAGGCTCCTTTTTTCCTATTAAAAATTTACCATCTCTATCTCCCCTCCTTCTTTTTTGTGTTTGTTACTCTCTTGTAACACATCTAATCTTTGGCACTTATATGACCTTATTGTGTTGCAAGTGCCGTAAAACTCTTACTAAAACAATGGAGTAGGCTTGCGAGTTGTAAGAAGAAAAGTTCAGTGGTCTCACTATTTCAATAACGGTGTAAAATGTGAATGTCTACGTTAATGTACCGTGCATAAAACAGGTGGAGCCTACACTGAAGTCTGGATGTCTGCTCTGTGGAAATCTTCCGCTCAGAACTATTTTGTCCACAGTCGAGTCTTTATTGAAGTACACTTTGGACAAAATAGTTCTGAGGCCACGAAATGCTGTCTACTTTTTTTCTATTAGTGTGACTCGTGACTATGACTCTCCCCGTCGTTTTATGAAAGAAAAATTCTGAAATTGTGCAAACTGAGCCCAAAAATGTGAAATGATGCGATTCTGTTAAGTTTAACAAAGAACGATAAAGGAAAATAATCAGAAATTATGCGAAAAATGATCAAATTTTGCTCAATTGTGCAGGGTGCATAAAACCACGGGGACAGCTGTGATTATCAACCCTCAACTTGAAAATCAGACTAATGTGTTTGTTTCAGCTTTAGATTGTGAATTGTCTGGAATGAAAGATGGTGATTTGATGGATGGATGGATGGATGGATGGATGAATTGACTCTTTTGTTTCTCCTTGGTATTTTGATTGACTGCCAGGAAAGATAGATTAGAAATGAATTGGTTGTTGTGGGTTTTTTTCCCCCTCCTCAGTTGCCTTTGATTTTATGAATGATCTAGAAAGAGAGATAGAGAGATGCTGGTGGGAAAAAGGAATTCTTTGTTGTTTTGAACTTGTTTTTTCGGAGTGTTTGTTCGGCATATCTGCTACTACTGTTTTGTCTGAATTGTTTCGCCCTGTTTTGGGTTGGCTGAGAAAGGGAATGTCGTAACTGCCCGAGAAAGATGAGTAAGTCCAATGATTTTTTTCCCCACCCTAAAAGATTGAGGTCAAATGGAGACACTCTTTTTTCTGGTGACAGTGAGGATATATGAGGCATTGGGATGAGATCAGATGCTCGTCAATAATAGTGATTATATTATAATGAAATGGAAGAAACAGGCATTTTTCCTCCAATTCAGCAATTGTTTAATAGAACTTTTGTTTTTTGACTCAACACCTCTTATGCTGATGTAAAATCACTCTCCATCGTACTCCATGTGAATTTTACTGAAAAGCATTGATTAACGGCGCAAAATATGTAAATGCTCAGTTTTCAAGGACTCTCGCGCAATAGCAATTTCAAAACTTTGGCCAGCTAATTATATCTCTGAAACCAGGCTACCCACCATCACCTTCTTCTTTAATCACAAATATCTTGACTTCTGTCTTCAAGATAGATGGGTATTTCTTTTTTCATAGAAAGCTAGTCATATGAATAACCTTTACAGATAATACCAATAATTTCACATGCCCAAAAATTGACGAGCCCCTGGTTCCATCTTGTGGTGGCACTTATATTATATATATATATAATATATTATGGCCAAGCTGTTCAATTGTTCTAAGCCCACAGAGCAAAATTTTTCAGGAGAGGAAAAAACTTTCATTCTTTTAAAGATTTCTCATTCGCTTGTCTTTTATTTATTTTTTCCAACGTTTAGAGAGTTTGAATTTGGACAAAATATTTCTAAAGCATACGTGCAACCAATATTACAGAATTAAGAAACTGCAATAAAAAAAATTTCTCTCCAAATTTTGGGCAGAGTACGTTTGAACAGTCGGTAAATAATAATGTTCCTTCCTGTTCGTCTCGGCTGGTGAATATTTGCTGCCTTTGATTTAACCTGATGTCATATTGTTGTCATTATATGTGTCATGACGCGGTGGAAGCAGGCTCTCGTCAATTTTGGGGCATGTAGAGTTATTGTTATAATCTTAAAGCTTGTTCATTTGTCTTGCTTTGAATGAACAAAATATCCATGTATCTTGAATAGAAGTCGAGATATTTGTGAATTAAGGAGGTGGGGGTCACCTGGTTTCAGAGATAAAATTAGTGAGAAAATGGCCGCCAAAGTTGAGTTATTTCCTTAATTTGAGAATATGTAGAAACTGAAAATTTATATTTTTGGGCCTCAAATCAATGTTTTTCAGTAAAATCCACACAGAAATGTGTTTTTTAATGGGCACGAAAGGTGTTGAGCCAAAAAGCGAAAATTCGATAAAAATTCTCAAACCTGCGGGAAAATGCCAGTTTCTCAACATTGATTGTTTTGACGAGCGCCTGATTCCACCACGCTGCCTCACATATTATAATTGATAGTATCACCATATACTTGGCAATGATTTAACAAGGTTCGTCTGCAATATTATATTGTGTTACAATGAAATTCTAATAAAGCAGCATTTATTTTAAAAAATGATATATTTCTATAGTTTGCGTGTTGTGTTTCATGAAGTAAGTGATTGCGTTGTGGGACCAGGTAAATTAATTAGGTCCAAGTTGTTGTAGGGTAGGGTTTGTTGTTGTTGTTGTTGTTGTTATCGATCCAGCAACAGCTGGGCTCTCGCCCTTCTGCCCAATGCCATGTAGTGATAAGTGCAGGTTTGCTGCAGCTGCTGTAATGTTCCATAGAGTGTGTTGTCTATGTTAGGTCTCGCAGGGAGAAGGGTAGTGTAGGGTTTGAAGAACTTCAATGAAAGGCTCGTAGAGTTTGTGGTCAATGCTAGTTCTTGCAGGGAGAAGGGTTTGAAGAACTTCAATGAAGGGCTCGTCAGTTGCCACAAAACTCATTGGTAGAGAAGGCTTCTGGCATGACAGCTTTACTGATAGATCCTACTTCTTTTCTTTCCCTCTCTTATTTCTGTCTACCGATCTTGCTTTTTCCCACTAAATGACCTTTATTGTGTCAATTTGCTTATATCTTTTCACAAAAAATTTGAGAGTAGGTGGTTGGTGGGTGCTCTGGTGTGGTTTGCTCCTTCTGTCCTATCAAGCATTTATCGTCCTTATCTCTCCTTCTTTTTTGTGTATGTTACTCTCTTATAACACATTATTTTTCGGCATTTATATGACCTTATTGAGCTAGAGAATATTAGGAATAAAGTAGAAACTACTAGGGATGAGCTAGAAAATATTACGGATGAGCTAGAAGCTACTGGAAATTAACCAAAAAATATTAGGAAAGAGCTAGAAAATACTGGGAATGAGCTAGAAAATTTTAGGGATAAGCTAGATTGTTATTGAGATAATCTAGAAAATACATGAAATTAGCTAATACAGTTGGGAATATTCGGGATGAGCTAGGAAATATTAGGAAAGAGTTAGAAACTACAGGGGATGAGCTAAAAATATACTTGGGATGATCTTGAAAATACAAGGAATGAGCTAGAAAATTCTGGGGATGAGCTAGAAAATAATTGGGAATATTCGAGATAAGCTAGATGATATTAGGGATGAGCTATAAAATCATAGGGATGAAGTAGAAACCACTGGGGATGAGCTGTAAAATATTAAGAATAAGCCACAACATTTTAGGAATAATCTAGAAAATACTAGGGATGGAACTAGAAAATACTTGGGATGAGCTAAAAAGTATAAGTGATGAGCTAGAAAATATTAGGAATGGGCTAGAAAATACTAGGCATTAGCTAAAAATATTAGGGATGAGCTAGAAAATAATAGGGTTAATCTAAAAAATACTGAGGATGTGCTAGAAAATAATTGGAAATGTTCGGTATAACATAATAAGTAATATTAGGGATGAACTAGAAAATAATAGGGATAATTTTTAAAATATTAAAAAAGAGCAAGAAAAATATATATACATGAACTAGAAAATAGTTATGAATATTTAGAATGAGCTATAAAATATTAATATTAGGGATCGGATAAAAAATACTGGGGATGAGCTAAAGAATAATAAGGATGAGCTAGAAAATGTGAATAATTTATTGAATACTGGAGATGAGCTAGAAAATCATTGGGAATATTCCGGATAAGCCAAAAATAATTAGGGATCAGCAAGAAAATATTAGGGATGAGCTAGTGATTGCGGGAATAATCGAGAAAATACTGGGGGTGAGCGAGCAAATGATAGGAATAATATTTTTTAAATACTTAGTGTGAGCTAGAAAATAATTGGGATTATTCGGGATAAGCTTGATAATAATTAGGGATGAGCTAAAAAAATAATAGGGATAAGTTAAAAAATATTAGTGATGAGTAAAAAAAAAAGCAATCAGCTAGAAAATATTGGATGTTTGGAATGAGCTAGAAAATATTGGATCAGCTAGAAAATACCAGGGAAGTGCTAAAAACATCAAGGATCAGCTAGGAAATACTGGAGGTGAGCTTGAAAATGCTGGGATTGAGCTAAAAATATATTAGGGATGAGCTAGAGAATATTAGGAATAAAGTAGAAAATACTTGAGTTGAGCTAGAAAATATTACGGATGAGCTAGAAAATAATAGGATTAATCTAAAGAATACTGGGGATGTGCTAGAAAATAATTGGAAATGTTCGGGATAACATAAATAATATTAGGGATGAGCTAGAAAATAATAGGGACAATTTTTAAAATATAAAGGATGAGCTAGAAAAAAACTAATACATGAACTAGAAAATAGTTATGAATATTTAGAATGAGCTATAAGATATTAAAGATCAGATAGAAAATACTGGGGATGAGCTAAAAAATATTAAGGATGAGCTAGAAAATATGAATAATTTATTGAATTCTGGGGATGAGCTAGAACATAATTGGGAATATTCCGAATAAGCCAAAAATAAATAGGGATGAGCAAGAAAATATTAGGGATGAGCTAATGAATACGGGAATGATCGAGAAAATACTGAGGAATACTGGGGGTGAGCTAGAAAATACTGAGGATTTGCGAGAAAATAATAGGAATAGTCTTTTTAAAATACTGAATGTGAGCTAGAAAATAATTGTGATTATTCGAGATAAGCTTGATAATAGGGATGAGCTAAAAAATAATAGGGATAAGTTAAAAAATATTAGTGATGAGTAGAAAAAATATAGCAATCAGCTTGAAAATAATGGGGAATGTTTGGAATGAGCTAGAAAATATTGGATCAGCTAGAAAATATCAGAGAAGCGCTAGAAAATACCAGGAATCAGCTAGAAAATACTGGGGGTGATCTAAAAAGTACTGGGAATGAGCTAGAATATATTAGTTTAGGGATGAGCTAGAGAATATAAGGGATAAAGCAGAAAATACTAGGGATGAGCTAGAAAATATTACGGATGAGCTAAAAACTATGTGAGTGAGCAAAAAAAAATTTGGAATGAGCTAGAAAATAGTAGGGATGAGCCCGAAAATTTTAGGGATGAGCTAGATTAATATAGTGATAATCTAGAAAATACTTGAAATTAGCTAAAACATTTAGGAATATTTGGGATGAGCAAGAAAATATAAGAAAGAGCTAGAAAATACAGGGGATG